CGTGCCGTCTTTAGCCAACTCTCTTGCTATCTCTCTCAGAATGACCTTCTTGATCCAAACCAATCAGGTTTCAGGACTGGTCATTCAACTGAGACTGCTCTTCTCTGTGTCACAGAGACTCTCCGCACTGCTAAAGCTAACTCTCTCTCCTCTGCTCTTGTCCTTCTAGATCTGTCTGCTGCCTTTGATACTGTCAACCATCAGATCCTCCTCTCCACCCTCTCCGAAATGGGCATCTCCGGCGCGGCTCACTCCTGGATTGCGTCCTACCTGACCGGTCGCTCCTACCAAGTGGCGTGGCGGGAAGCTGTCTCCGCACCACGTGCTCTCACCACTGGTGTCCCCCAGGGATCGGTTTTGGGCCCTCTCCTTTTCTCCCTATACACCAAGTCACTTGGCTCTGTCATATCCTCACATGGCCTTTCCTATCATTGCTACGCTGACGATACACAACTAATCTTCTCCTTTCCCCCTTCTGATCACCAGGTGGCGAATCGCATCTCTGCATGTCTGGCAGACATATCAGTATGGATGACGGATCACCACCTCAAGCTGAACCCTGGCAAGACGGAGCTGCTCTTCCTCCCCGGGAAGGACTGCCCGTTCCATGATCTCGCCATCACGGTAGACAACTCCGCTGTGTCCTCCTCCCAGAGTGCGAAGAGCCTAGGCGTGACCCTGGACAACACCCTGTCGTTCTCCGCCAACATCAAGGCGGTGACCCGCTCCTGCAGGTTCATGCTCTACAACATTCGGAGAGTGCGACCCTGCCTTACACAGGAAGCGGCGCAGGTCCTGGTCCAGGCACTTGTCATCTCCCGTCTGGACTACTGCAACTCGCTGTTGGCTGGGCTCCCTGCCTGTGCCATTAAACCCCTACAACTCATCCAGAATGCCGCAGCCCGTCTGGTGTTCAACCTTCCCAAGTTCTCTCACGTCACCCCCCTCCTCCGCACACTCCACTGGCTTCCAATTGAAGCTCGCATCCGCTACAAGACCATGGTGCTTGCCTTTGGAGCAGTGAGGGGAACGGCACCCCTGTACCTTCAGGCTCTGATCAGTCCCTACACCCAAACGAGGACATTGCGTTCATCCACCTCTGGCCTGCTGGCTCCCCTTCCTCTGCGGAAGCACAGCTCCCCCTCAGCCCAGTCAAAACTGTTCGCTGCTCTGGCACCCCAATGGTGGAACAAGCTCCCTCACGACGCCAGGACAGCGGAGTCACTCACCACCTTCCGGAGACATTTGAAACCCCACCTCTTTAAGGAATACCTGGGATAGGCTAAAGTATTCCTTCTAACCCCCCCCCCCCCCCCCCCCCCCAAATTGTAAAGTGGTTATCCCACTGGCTATAGGGTGAACGCACCAATTTGTGAGTCGCTCTGGCTAAGAGCGTCTGCTAAATGACGTTAATGTGCCCTTGAGCAAGGCACTTAACCCTAATTGCTCCTGTAAGTCGCTCTGGTTAAGAGCGTCTGCTAAATGACTAAAATGTAAAAAATGTAATGATCTCTGCATGTGTGGTTCCCACCATGAAGCATGGAGGAGGTGGTGTGATGGTGCTTTGCTGGTGACACTGTCTGTGATTTATTTAGAATTCAAGGCACACTTAACCAGCATGACTACCACAGCATTCTGCAGCGATACGCCATCCCATCTGATTTGTGCTTAGTGGGATTATCATTTATCTTTCAACAGAACAATGACCCAACACACCTCCAGGCTGTGTAAGGGCTATTTTACCAAGAAGGAGAGTGATGGAGTGCTGCATCAGATGACCTGGCCTCCACAATCCCCCGACCTCAACCCAATTGAGATGGTTTGGGATGAGTTAGACCGCAGAGTGAAGGAAAAGCAACCAACAAGTGCTCAGCATATGTGGGAACTCCTTCAAGACTGTTGGAAAAGCATTCCAGGTGATAATGTCATGAGTTTTTAAAGCTGTCATCAAGGCAAACGGTGGCTACTTTGAAGAATCTCAAATATAAAATATATTTGATTTGTATAACACTTTTTTGATTACTACATGATTCTGTGTGTTATTTCATAGTTTTGATGTCTTCACTATTATTCTACAATGTAGAAAATAGTAAAAATAAAGAAAAACCCTGGAATGAGTAGGAGTCCAAACTTTTGACTGGTACTGTAGATTATGGTGATATCGTCTATATGAATGCGGCTACCACTGTATTGAAACCATTGGACACAGTTAATCATAGCGCACTGCGCTTTATTTACAGGCGACAGGTTCAGTACACATTACTGCTTTCTGTATCAGAAAGTAAGCTGGCCCTCTTTGAAGTCTCAGAGATCGATGCATTGCACTATTTTTGTTTATAAAGCCCTCTTACACAAACTTACGCCGTACCTTACTTCATTGTTAACCTAAAGATGTACGAGCTATCAGACCCGGTCTCAGAGATGGCTAACTCTGGAGAGCCCTTCGGTGTCCACTGAGTTAGGTAGATCTGCGTTTAGTTTTTTTTGCACCTTACTTGTGGAATGATCTCCAGAACTCTCTAAGGTTGGATGTTTTGGTACCACTAGAGCAGTTGAAATGGCTGGTTGATTACCTTTTTACTGAGGAATGTGTTTGTGTTTCATGATCGTGTTTTGTAAGTTACTTTTGTTAAATTGCTTGTAAATATTGTATGTTTTTATTGCGTTGGAATTGTAAATATTGTGAATTTCTACGATTTTGTGCAGGGCTCCCTTGTAAAAGAGGCCTTGGTCTCAATGGGATGTTCCTGTTTAGGTAAAACATATATATATGAAAAAAAATGGCTGCAACTCAATTTGCACCAATTGTAATGGTTTTGAATGGACCACTAATGGATGGAATCGTACATTCTCCCAAAATGCTAGTCAGATTATTCTCGACGTTGCTAAATAAACAGCTAACAAATTCATAAACAGTTTGGGAAAATAACAGCCTAGGGAAGTCACGGAAAAAATGCACTATCCCTTCAAGCTTACAATATTCGTGATAGTAGTACTAAATCGTACAGTTAAGAATCAAGCAAAAAAAAATCACTAATAAATACAATTTGTAGCCTGGGCCAGACAGTACCAAAAGTCAAGAGCAGTAAGAATACTGCAACCGTAATGAAGTTAAGCAAAAAAATAAATAAATATATATATATATATATATATATATATATATATATATATATATATAAAATGTATGTGTGTAATATATTACCAGAACATCAGCAGAAATAAGCAAAACATCAACATTTCAAAAGTTCACAGTAATTAATCCCAAATTAAAGTTATTTAAATTGTTACAAATTGCAGCAGATAAAGTCTGACAAACAAGTCTAGAAAGCAATACTACATCTCACTGTACAATCCATTTTCAATTACATTAGCTCATTCTTAAAATAGTTTGACACTTATTTGCCACTGTTGTTCCAAGGGAATGGCAAGCTCCCACACAACGTTACCAGTGGCAGATGAAAGAAAACCTCAGAACGTTACTGGAATGCTCCCTAAATGTGCTGCACACAGTCTGCTTTTGTCATATTCAATATTTTGGGTAATAAAGCATAACATTTGCAGTTACATCTTCGCTATGCATTGTCTCCACTCTTCAAATCACCCTTCATCATATATTAGCCACTTAAGTTCTCCCATACCATTTTATAATAAAGGATGGAATTGCACTTTGAGCAAAGGTGCGTTCAACAAAGGTTCTGTTTGTTACGAACATGTTACTTGGTAACAACGATATGAAATGTTCCAAAATGTTATGGTGAAACATCAAACAGCAAATCTTTTATAAGGATTACTATGACAGTTTAGCAATGAGAATCAAACAGAAAATTACTTTCCTATTCCTACTAAATGTAATAGAAAGCCTACATGGCCACATTATTATTTGTAGTGGCAGTTTAGACACGAAACAGATATTTTACATTCGCCGCACACTACCTTATCACACTGTTAGCTAACATATTCCATTTGTTTTGTGTTAGCTAACATTCGCAAAATATTTCCTTTGTTGAACGCACCTCATGTGTAGTTGATTTTGTTTAAACAATTTGAGGGGTTGTCAAGTTGCTATACAACTTGGTGTTGTTGCGTCATAACGCAATCAACCAGAAGACAGTTCTTCAGTTCCCTTTTGCTGAGATCCGTGTTGGGCAAACAGTTCCCACAACCTATGGACAAGCATTTATAGTGGGGAGTTACTTGATAATACTAATTGCTATAATGATAATAATAGTCATTAAGCAAATGATCCCAATCAAAATAATACCTATTTTCCCAAAACACAAAGAAATCCACCTACATTGTGAAACCTGTACCATATTAATGAAACCATGACAAGGCTTCCAGATCAGATAAAATAGTGCAACTCAATCCTCAGTACAATCGCGCAGACAAATGTGGACTGCTCTTATTTTCAATAGCCAACCGTCCTCTGCTGGAGATCCTCAAAAGTAGGTCTTTCCTCAGCTTTTTTCCCAACCATCATAATTTTTACCCAACTCTCGTACTTTCAGACAAATTGTTCCCTTGTTTGTGACAGTAACACTCTAGACAGATTCTGGTATGATGTAGTACCACGTCCTCAAGGTTGTATTGTCTGATGCACAGATCATACGATACAAGTCCACACTTCTCCTGCTATCCATCCATCCCTCTCTAAATCTGCTTGTTCACAACAAGTTCATTTATGTTCGCTCCTCCCAAATAGAAGCTCAGAGCCTAATGGTCAGGGCAGTTACCTCTGGTCATCCCAAAACCCCAGCCTCTGTATCCCTACAAACTATGCAACTGAATCCAAACATGTTTACTCATGTACTAATGTCATATGAACATTCTCATTATAAACCTTCCAATGGTACAATGGCTAAACCAGACCTAAAGAAATCAAATGGTTCTAACTGTGGTACCTGGTATACAGAAACATAGTTATACCTTTTTCTTGATAATTTATTTAACAATTCATTTAAAAAATCTAAAAGTCTTTGGGCTTTTGGGGATGATAGGGGTTAAGCAGGCTGAAGGGGTATACAACCGACACCCACCCCACCCTCGTGGCACACCATGGGTGCCATGAATGTCCAGCGGTTGGTCTCTGCGTCATACATCTCTACAGAGCTCAGGTTGGACTGTCCGTCGTAGCCACCCACGGCGTAAAGCCTGCCACAGTTTGCAACCAGTGAGACTCGGCTGCGCCGTGTGTTCATGGCCAGCAGGTGGCTCCATTGGTCTGCCACTGAGCTGTACACCTCGGCCCCGCTGAGGAACCCGGAGCCGTCATAACCCCCCGCCACATAGAGCTGGCTGCCAAGGGCCGCAGCGCCATGGCGACAGCGCTTGTTCATCATGCCAGCAACAGGGTGCCAAAGGGCTGTGTGCTGGTTGTAGTACTCCACCTACAGGATGGGATGGGTCATTACAGTCATTCTCTTTCAGAGTCTAGTGCATTTTAAAGGGTATGTTCACGATTTAAGAGATTAAGTACTTTTTACCATTCACCTGTGATGATATCGATTGATACAAACCGTTTATGAAGTGTAAGCTATCTATTGGTCATAGATTTTTTAAACCAGCGGGCCTCGAGGAGATTAGATTGATTATAATGTAAGTGGAAGGGCATGGCTTGTTGCTCGTCTAAACAGCACTAAAGTGTCAATTGTGAACATGCAAAGTTACCTGTGCAGCCACTTAATGTCTTCAGAGGTCGTACATGGGTATAGTACCAGATATACTTAAAAAAGTTTGGATCAATCAATATAATCACAGATGAGTGGTAAAAAGGACATGTTAAGAAACACTTCTTTGTCCGAGTCTTAAAGTCCTGTTCGCTAACGGTTTGGAGCGTAGAGTGGGGATTGAAGAGTTTGGAACGGAGAGTGGGGCTTGAAGGGTTTGGAGCGGAGAGTGGAGATTGAAGGGTTTGGAGCGGAGAGTGGGGATTGAAGGGTTTGGAGCGGAGAGTGGGGATTGAAGGGTATGGAGAGGGGTGGGAAGAGTTTGGAGCGGAGCGGAGATTGAAGGGTTTGGAGCGGAGAATGGGGATTGAAGGGTTTGTGGCACGGAGTGGGGATTGATGGGTTTGGAGTGGAGAGTGGGGACTGAAGGGTACGTGAGCTCCTGAGTGGCGCAGTGGTCTAAGGCACTGCATCGCAGTGCTAACTGTGCCACTAGAGATCCTGGTTCGAATCCAGGCTCTGTCGCAGCCGGCCGCGACCGGGAGACTCATGGGCGGCGCACAATTGGCCCAGCGTCGCCTAGGGTAGGGGAGGGAATGGCCGGCAGGGATGTAGCTCAGTTGATAGAGCATGGCGTTTGCAACGCCAGGGTTGTGGGTTCGATTCCCACGGGGGGCCAGTATAAAAAAAAAAATGTAATCACTAACTGTAAGTCGCTCTGGATAAGAGCGTCTGCTAAAATGAAAAAAATGTTTTAAAAAAAATGAGAGGGAAGGGTTTGGAGTGGGTATTGAAGGGTGTGGAGTGGGGAGTGGGGATTGAAGGGTTTGGAGCAAGGAGTGGGAATTGAAGGGTTTGGAGCGGGGATTGAAGGGTTTGAAGCGGGGATTGAAAGGTTTGGAGCGGAGAGTGGGGATTGAAGGATATGGAGTAGGGATTGAAGGGTATGGAGCGGGGAATGAAGGGTTTGGAGCAGGGAGTGGGGATTGAAGGATTTGGAGCGGGGAGTAGGATTGGGTTTGGAGCAAGTCTTAGCATCCTGTTCGCTAAGGGTTTGGAGCGGACAGTGGGGATTGAAGGGTTTGGAGCGGGGATTGAAGGGTATGGAGCGAGGCTTAAATGGTTTAGAGAGGAGGGTGGGGATTGAAGGGTATGGAGTGTGGACCCTCCCGAGTGGCGCGGTGGTCTAAGGCACTGCATCGCTGTGCCACTAGAGATGCTGGTTCGAATCCAGGCTCTGTCGTAGCCGGCCGCGACCGGGAGACCCATGGGGTGGCGCACAATTGGCCCAGGGTAGGGGAGGGAATGGCCGGCAGGGATGTAGCTCAGTTGGTAGAGAATGGTGTTTGCAACGCCAGGGTTGTGGGTTCGATTCCCACGGGGGGCAGTATGAACAGGGGGTGGGGATTGAAGTGTTTGGAGCAAGTCTTAGCATCCTGTTCGCTAAGGGTTTGGAGCGGAGAGAGGGGATTGAAGGGTTTGGAGCGGAGCGAGGAAATTGAAGGGTTTGGAGCGGGGATTGAAGAGGGAATTGACGGGTTTGAAGCGGGGATTGAAAGGGTTGGAGCGGGGTTTGAAGGGTTTGGAGCGGGAGTGGGGATTGAAAGATTTGGAGCGGAGAGTGGGGATTGAAAGGTTTGGAGCGGAGAGTGGGGATTGAAGGGTTTAGATCAGAGAATGGGGATTGAAGGGTTTGGAATGGGGAGTGAAGGGTTTGGAGCGGGGAGTGTGGATTGAAGGTTTTGGAGAGGAGAGTGGGGACTGAAGGGTTTGGAGCGGGGATTGTATGGTTTGGAGAGGGTAGATGGATTGCAGGGTTTGGAGCGGGGATTGAAGAGTTTGGAGCGGAGAGTGAGATGGAAGGTTATGGACTGTGGATTGAAGAGGGGATTGAAGGGTTTGGAGCAAGTCTTAGCGTCCTGTTCGCTAAGGGTTTGGAGCGGTGAGTGGGGATTGAAGGGTTTGTGTCAGGGAGTGGGGATTGATGGGTTTAGATCAGAGAATGGGGATTGAAGGGTATGGAGCGAGGTTTGAAGGATTTGGAGCAGGGAGTGGGGTTTGAAGGGTTTGGAGCGAGTCTTAGCATCCTGTTCGCTAAGGGTTTGGAGCGGAGAGTGGGGATTGAAGAGTTTGGAACGGAGAGTGGGGCTTGAAGGGTTTGGAGCGGAGAGTGGGGATTGAAGGGTATGGAGAGGGGTGGGAAGAGTTTGGAGCGGAGCGGAGATTGGAGATTGAAGGGTTTGGAGCGGAGAATGGGGATTGAACGGTTTGTGGCACGGAGTGGGGATTGATGGGTTTGGAGTGGAGAGTGGGGACTGAAGGGTATGGAGAGGGGAGGGAAGGGTTTGGAGTGGGTATTGAAGGGTGTGGAGTGGGGAGTGGGGATTGAAGGGTTTGGAGCAAGGAGTGGGAATTGAAGGGTTTGGAGCGGGTATTGAAAGGTTTGAAGCGGGGATTGAAGGGTTTGAAGCCGGGATTGAAAGGTTTGGAGCGGAGAGTGGGGATTGAAGGATATGGAGTAGGGATTGAAGGGTATGGAGCGGGGAATGAAGGGTTTGGAGCGGGGATTGAAGAGTTTGGAGCGAGGCTTAAATGGTTTAGAGAGGAGGGTGGGGATTGAAGGGTATGGAGTGTGGACCCTCCCGAGTGGCGCGGTGGTCTAAGGCACTGCATCGCAGTGCTAGCTGTGCCACTAGAGATGCTGGTTCGAATCCAGGCTCTGTCGTAGCCGGCCGCGACCGGGAGACCCATGGGGAGACCCATGGGGTGGCGCACAATTGGCCCAGGGTAGGGGAGGGAATGGCCGGCAGGGATGTAGCTCAGTTGGTAGAGAATGGTGTTTGCAACGCCAGGGTTGTGGGTTCGATTCCCACGGGGGGGGCAGTATGAGCAGGGGGTGGGGATTGAAGTGTTTGGAGCAAGTCTTAGCATCGTGTTCGCTAAGGGTTTGGAGCGGAGAGCGGAGAGAGGGGATTGAAGGGTTTGGAGCGGGGATTGGGGATTGAAGGGTTTGGAGCGGAGAGAGGAAATTGAAGGGTTTGGAGCGGGGATTGAAGAGGGAATTGACGGGTTTGGAGCGGGGATTGAAAGGGTTGGAGCGGGGTTTGAAGGGTTTGGAGCGGGAGTGGGGATTGAAAGATTTGGAGCGGGGAGTGGGGATTGAAAGGTTTGGAGCGGAGAGTGGGGATTGAAAGATTTGGAGCGGAGAGTGGGGATTGAAGGGTTTAGATCAGAGAATGGGGATTGAAGGGTTTGGAATGGGGAGTGAAGGGTTTGGAGCGGGGAGTGTGGATTGAAGGTTTTGGAGAGGAGAGTGGGGACTGAAGGGTTTGGAGTGGGGATTGTATGGTTTGGAGAGGGTAGATGGATTGCAGGGTTTGGAGCGGGGATTGAAGAGTTTGGAGCGGAGAGTGAGATGGAAGGTTATGGACTGTGGATTGAAGAGGGGATTGAAGGATTTGGAGCAAGTCTTAGCGTCCTGTTCGCTAAGGGTTTGGAGCGGTGAGTGGGGATTGAAGGGTTTGTGTCAGGGAGTGGGGATTGATGGGTTTAGATCAGAGAATGGGGATTGAAGGGTATGGAGCGAGGTTTGAAGGATTTGGAGCAGGGAGTGGGGTTTGAAGGGTTTGGAGCGAGTCTTAGCATCCTGTTCGCTAAGGGTTTGGAGCGGAGAGTGGGGATTGAAGGGTTTGGAGCAGGGATTGAAGCATTTGGAGTGGGGATTGAAGGGTTTGGCGTGGAGAGAGGAAATTGAAGGGTTCGGAGTGGGGAGCGGGTATTGAAGAGGGGATTGACGTTTGGAGCGGGGATTGAAAGGGTTGGAGCGGGGATTGAAGGGTTTGGAGCGGGGAGTGGGGATTGATGGGTTTAGATCAGAGAATGGGGATTGAAGGGTATGGAAAGGGGAGCGGGATTGAAGGGTTTGGAGCGGGAAGTGGGGATTGAAGGGGAAGGAGTGGGGATTGAAGGGTATGCAGTAGGGATTGAAGGATTTGGAGCAGGGATTGAATGGTTTGAAGCAGGGATTTAATGGTTTGGAGCGGGAGTGGTGATTGAAGGGTTTGGAGCGGGGATTGAAGTGTTTGGAATGAAGAGTGAAGGGTTTGTAGCAGGGATTGAAGGGTTTGGAATGGGGATTGAAGGGTTTGGAGAGGAGAGTGGGGATTGAAGGTTTTGGAGCGGGGATTGAAGGGTTTGGAGTGGGGATTGAAGGGTTTGGAGCAGGGATTGAAGGGTTTGGAGTGGGAATTGAAGAGTTTGGATTAGGGATTGAAGGGTTTGGAGCAGGGATTGAAGGGTTTGGAATGGGGATTGAAGGGTTTGGAGAGGAGAGTGGGGATTTAAGGTTTTGGAGCGGGATTGAAGGGTTTGGAGTGGGGATTGAAGGGTTTGGAACGGCGAGTGAAGGGTTTAGAGTGGGTTTGAAGGGTTTAGAGCGGGGATTGAAGGGTTTGGAATGGGGAGTGAAGCGGAGAATGAGGAATGAAGTGTTTGTAGCGGGTAGTGGGGATTGAAGGATTTGGAGCGGAGAGTGGGGATTGAAGGGTTTGGAGTGGGGATTGAAGGGTTTAGAGCGGGGATTGAAGGATATGGAGCGGGGATTGAAGGGTTGGGAATGGCGAGTGAAGGGTTTGTAGCTGGGAGTGGGGAGTGATGGGTTTGGAGCGGGGATTGAAGGATTTGTAGCGGGGAGTGGGTATTGAAGGGTTTGGGAGCTGGGAGTGAAGGGTTTGTAGTGGCGAATGGGGAATGAAGGGTTTGTAGCAGGGAGTGGGGATCGAAGGGTTTGGATCGGAGAGTGGGGATTGAAGGGTTTGGAC